GTTCTTTTCATCCTTCTCCATAATAAAATGCGACCTTGTCCGGGCTGTACTATTCTTAGAAGTTATCGGAATGTCTCGCATTTCTGCCATATATACTCGTATAACAATAAAAGATGCGAAAACCGAATGAGTCCCTCTAGATTCGTTCAGCAAAAAAAAGAACGTCCATCCATCCGTGCGTACAGTCAATTGGACATTATGCAACTCGCGAAAGAAGTGCCAATTGCCGCGTCTAGACGTTACGTAACAGGAAGAGAAGTCTTCGTCTTCTTCCACGGGCCCAATTGGATCCTGTCCCGAATTGGCTCACAAAACTTTTTCGCATTTTTTCATTCAACCTCTCCTTCTCTCTCTTCTTTCCTGGTCATTTCTTAAGGCAATTCCAATTTCCATGAGCGGAATACAAAGAGCGAAAAGAGAAGGAGCATCAACAAATCGATAAATTGATGCATCGTCGTCGGGTGAATAATTGAACGAGACTTGCATATTGCATACCGCTAATTCCCTATTGTTCTATTGCCCCTTCTATTTTTATCAAACCTTTACTGGAGCCGAAGATCCTACCACGCGGCGCTAATATTAATATTGTAATGCAAAAGAACAAAAGGCGGAGGAGCGACTGAAGGAAAGAAAGACGGAAAGTAAAAATAAAAGAAAGGAGGTGCAGAGTAAACGAAAGAAATGTGTGCATGCGAGAGGAACAATCCGCAATCCAAACATCTTCATCATCGTCGTCGTATGCTAATTTCAGATCGAGCAGATCCTCACCGAGTACAAAGCCAGAGCTCTGCAATTCCATCCCGATAAGAACGATGGCTGCAAGGAAGCTGAGGAGAAGTTCCAATTGCTCAAGGTAAGATCATCAATTTTAAGTTAATTTATCACAATCAACTATATTATTTAATTAAATTATTTTTGTTTGATCTGAAATTATACAATATAACAAATAATATACTATGAAAAATCTCTTTACTTGTTAAATTATGTTCTCTCTACAGTTAATCAAATTTCCAATTATATAAACTAATCAATAAAAAATGCTTTAACTAATGATTAAAGATCACTTTAAGTTTTCATTAATATTAAACATATCTATAATTATATAAAATAACGAATAAATAAAGTTTTATAAGGTTCAATTTAATGGTAAATATTTCCAAATTTAAGTTACATAAAAGTACTGCAGAATTTTTGCAAAATTATTGCAAACTTATCATTCTTTGAAAATTTAGATAAATATTTAATTTATTTAAGGACACATTTATATTAAAGAAAAAAACAATAATTTTGTATGCAAAAAACATGATTTAAAATTTGTCAATCATAGAAAATAGGAAATATTCTATAAGTCTTGTCGTATTTAATTAAATTAGAAATATTTGTCATTAATTAATTTCTACAATAATACAAAAAAAACTGCTAGAATAATAAAAATGAGACAAATATTGCAATATTTGCTAATAAATCAAAGTCTATGAAATAATTAGAAAATAGTTTCTTAAGTTTAATAGAAAATAATTCATGCTTACAATTTTACAAATTTTTCATTTGTAAGTTATTATATATATCATTAATTAAGATTAATATACATAAAAGGACAAGATAATCAACCATAAATAATCTGCACTAACTGATATATTAACACATATATTGAAAATTGTTATTTATAATCAATGATTAAAATGTATTACGTAAATAGAAACATATACAAAATAACTATATTTACCGCAATATTTCCGCTTAATTCAATCATTTATTTAAATAGATAAGAAAAGTATGACTACTTGAGAATATGTATTTACAAACTATTATTTTAATGTACACAGTGCAAAAAAATGCCTGAATGAAATAAAAATTACATAAACTTTCAGCTGGTTTCTTTTGATCTTAACTAAATGTACAGAATATATTCAGTTGTTTTTTGGCTATGTATTTTCTAGGTCAGTTAATAATATTATTGTAAATAATTCCAGTAAGATCATAATAATAAATCCATCGAAACGAAAATATACTCACGATCCGGCTGAAATAAGTCAAACAAGCGAAATAATAATCTTGATGGTAAAATGTGGCTTCCGTCTCGCAGAAAATTTACTTTACATCCTTTTGAAATCGAAACTAGGCTACGATTCATCTTGCAACTTTATTTTTATTTATTCTGTTTACAACCAAAGAAAGTTTGCAACGACGAAAGCTTTCAGGTACGCAATTACCTCTCTACCCATCTTCATTCCTGGAATCGGAAAGCGGGTGATATTGTTCCCGGGGATTTTCCTCTGATGTAGCTCAGCATTTTATTAATAATTACTGCTGCTGAAAAAAAATAAATTAATTAAATATAATCCGGGCTTTCTATTCAATTGAAAATGAAAAAAAAAAGTGCTGAACAACGAAACAAAAGAGTTTCTCGGGATCATGATTTTCATTCGGAATTAAATGAATTAAATAAAAAGAAAATGAATTATTTCGTATTGTTTACTTGCGTTTCTGAAACTTTTTGCTGCGCTACCCGACATACTTGTTTAAAACACACAAATTTTGACACATGTTGACAGCTGTCATTTCGCGACTCATAGGTTAACAAATGTTTAATGTTGACAAGTTAATGGTATTTTTTATTATGAAAAGCTGCTGAAAGTTCCTGAATTTTTAAATTGTCGACGGAATTAATGTAATTCATGGATGACGTTAACGAAATCGAATCAATAAAGTGAATTGGATCTAATAGCTGTCATTTAAATTATCGACTTTGAGGAATGAATATTTCAGCGAATATTCAAATAGCTTTTACGTGGAAGCGTTTATATACATCTTCTTTTTCTGTAGATGGAGATTAATGGATGTTTTGTATTTAAATTAGCTCAGGACACGTTGACGTAATAAATCGTAACGTTCGAATGACGTTCTGTCAATAGAGTCGACCAATCGGCTTGAAGGTGATTCATTGATTGGTTAAAGGACGTCGCACCAACAGCAACTGAGAACTTTGATTGGTTGAAACAAAATGTTAAGAATTTACATGAGATCTCAAAGTAAATACAGGTAAACGTCGCAAATCGAATCGGCGTAAAATGAACCCATATTTAGGGGGTAACTATAAGGTTTAGTTATATAAAAGTGTAAAATAAGCAATTAATAAGTGTTATTTCACAGCGGCGTAATTGTGAATAACTTTAATTGCAAAACAACTAATTTCTTAAAATTTTCAAGTAATATACAGCAAACTTTTTATCATTAACATTCAATCGTTTTTATTTATTATTGCAAATACTTTTTTTATTAAATACAGGAAGCCAAGGAGGTTTTGTGTGATCCGGAGAAGAAGTTGAATTACGACAAGTGGAAGAACAGCGGAATTTCCATCAGCTACAAGCAGTGGCTCGGGATGAAGGAACACGTCCATCAGGTATGCAATTGAGATTACAGCTAGAAACGAAAGGTTGCTGTACGTTTCATTCATTTGTTTATTTTTCCACTACTAATTACGCTAATGAAACCGAACCGAAGTATTCAGGTCAATTAACTAATTGAATCCTTCTCTTTTCAATTCCTAATTAGAATTTATTTGTATCAATAGAACAACCGAATAAAATGTTCTTAATTAATTAAATCTTAAACCTTTAAGTCAATTAATCACGTCTACAATATAGAAAATCGATTAACTCTTAATAAGTTACTAAATTTCTAATAATTATTATGATTGCGTTTGATTGATTTGGGTCAATTGGAAAAACTCATATTTTGCTGCTTTGCTATTGATTATATAACTCCTTTTATCATCGGGATTCTATAAATTACTTTACTTCTCTGAAAGTATTTCGTACTTTCCACTTCGCGGAACTTCACTTTGATGGTTTCCATTCAATTTTACGCTCGAATCAATTTGGATTTTCTTTTGATGTGTCTCCAATTCAGCGGCACGCTATAAAATATAAGGCGCAATATACTTTCAAGATATCACTTAACAATTCATTAATGAGTTAACATAAACTTTTCATCTTCAGTAATCAATAATTCAAATAATGTTAATGCATCTATTCAGACGTAATTCGTTTCTAATCGTTGATATTGTAAACAGGCTTATCTACTTATGTAGATTTCTAAATTTGAGTTATTGCCAAGACTATGATGATGCCGGCTTTAGCAAAATGTGCAATGTATTAATGCATGCGCGTGTATTCAAAGGATATCCAAAAGCAGATTAAAGGTATGCAAATTGGGGCGTTCGAATTCATTTAGGAAGACTATTAGCTGCGAATAATTAGCACCGAGGTTAACGGAATAAAACATTAGACTTTAGCATAATTTATTGCGTTTAGAAGTGATTCATTTAGTTAAGAATTCTATTTGTATCTTGATTGATTTATTTAGTTCTTAGTCGTAGATTACTGCTGAAAACCTACAGTATTTTGAAGTACTTAATATTAGTTTTATATGATTTAATTATACGTTAATATAACATATAAAAATATAGTATTTTTGAAAATTACGTATCAAGTAATTGAAAATACTGTAGTTAGCAAATAAAATTTACCTAAACTATAGCATTTTCTAAATTCTTCATGTTAATTAATATTTGTGAGTTCTACAATTTAATTATTATTGAAATTATCGTAAAGAACTTAAAAATGTTGTAGTTTTCAAATAAATTTTAACTAAACTTCAGTATTTTCTAAATTCTTTATGTTAATTAATATTTGTGACTTCTACAATTTAATTATTATTGAAATTATCATAAAGAACTTGAAAATTTTGTAGTTTTCAAATAAATTTTAATTAAATTCAAAGAAATTCATGTTAATTATTATTGAAACTAAAAAGAAATACTTGAAAATACTGTAGTTTTTTAACAAAATTTACAGTATTTTCTGAATTCCTCATGTTAATATTTGCTTGTTATATTATTGAAATTCCTTTCAGTCTATGCACTGGAGCGTCCCGAAGACCAAGGATCGCATGCTGCCGGAATCCGGAGGATCTTCAGGACCTTCGAGCTTGGGAGCCGGCGGGATAACAGCTGCTCAACGCAGGGCCTCCGAAGGTGGAGCCAATCTGCACTGGGGATCCAAGAACGCTGGATCCGCTTGGGGAACCGAAGCTCCCACCGAGATCGTCAGCAAATTCAGAAATTACGAGATCTAAATTGCATTTTCAATATAAAATATAAATTCAATTAATGGAACAAAAAAAAATACACATATTTAAAGTTAATTAAACTCTATACATATATATTTCAAAACAAATATATATTTAATTAAGCAAAAAAAAATAAGCATAAAAAATCTAAGTATATCATATTGTAAGTGTGTAAATGTTGCCCTCTCTACACCTTGTCTAACTATAGGAGACCAACTGCGGCTATAAAAGAAAGAATCTTATATACTCGAAATATTCTTGTATATAAATGTTTATTTACATAAAAGAAAATGAATTTAATCGTTAATCAAAAGATATCAAATGGAAAAAAAAGAAGGATCTCTCGTTTACTTTTCTCCCCCCCTCCTCCAATTATCGTGTGTGCCCCCTATCTTAGCCTCTACATTGATGTGATAATTAGTATTAATTATAATTTTCACCTAACCTAATGTATATTTTCAGGGTATTTTTCAGCACAAAAGGTGTTCTTTTTTTGTTGCTGTTATGTTCATATCTTCTTCAATTGTAATTTTTGATAAATGTTTATGACTCCCTCCTATACATTTCACTCTATCTCTATCAATAAATACTCTCACTTCTTGATCTTTGGAAACAAAACAAAAATAAATAAAAGATTATATTATATACTTTCAGAAGAAAACTATATCATTATAAAGAAATATATCATATACACTATATATATATTAAGATGAAATTTGAAATATATTCAATGTTGAAAAATTATATCAAAAATTATTTATAAATGTTTACAATTGGGATTATATTGAATAAATAACCTTAAATCAAATACCTTATTTCTTGTGTTTCAATCTGTGCTCCACTTTTCAAACCTGATCGATAAAACTATGGGGATTTATATAGCTCGATGGACAATCAGGTAATGTCCATAAATGCTTTGATAATCATAAAAATGAAGCTATATAGAATCGATAGTCGATGAAATGTAAATTTCGGTTGGAGATTCCTTTTGATGTTTGGTGACCCATTTCATCGATTGTAATTAAGGGCGAAGCAATTATGACGTCGCAGGAAAAGGGTTTGCATTCGATTTTCATCTCTGGATTTACGTACGTTATCGGGATGATGATGACGATGATGCTATTTGCGGGTATCGTCGAGATTAATTTCCATGCTCTGTGGAAACGCATTTGAGCGTTGGATGAGGTTCCATTCAAACTATAATCATTTTCGAATCGCATGGTTGCACGTCGGTCGTCGCTCGTTACTTACACAGGCGATAATTGGATCGATGCGACGTGGATGGAACGACGGAATCACGTCCAATACTGACTGCAACAACAATTCCTACAGTAAACACAAACACACACACACACACAGGATTTATTTACAGGAAAAACATCGAGTGTATCGACGAGATGTCTACACGTGATAGCTTTGCATTTGCTAGCAAACATTTCTCTTCCGTCGTTTCCAGAGATACCATTTAATTCAATACCGTTGTACTTTACTATAAAGCCAACATCGAATGATACTTGAATAAGGATTGTTAGAAAAAAGTATCTAATGAACATAAAATAATACATGTTTGCTATTAAATAAGTTATTACATAACACAAAGATTTGAATAGTGTTTGTAACAGTTTTATGAGATTTAAGTTAGATCTATTATATTAAAAATACATGATAATTCAATACCATTGTACATTGCCATAAAGGCAATATCGAACAAAACTTGAATAAGGATTGTTAGAAAAAAGTATCTAATAAACATAAAACAATACATGTTTGCTATTAAATAAGTTATTAGGTAATACAAGGATATTAATAATTATAGTTTTAAGAAAGCTAAGCAAGGTTTTTTATACTAAAAATAGAGTATAATTCAATAACGTTGTTTTTTGTCATAAAGTTAACATCGAATAAAACTTGATAGATGATTCTTAGAAAAAAGTATCTAATGAACATGAAATAATATATGTTTGCTATTAAATAAATTATTAGTTACCACAAAGTAGTAGTAGTTTTATGAGAGTTAAGCAACGTTTATTATATTAAATATTGATGATAAATCAACAAACAAACCTTTTTTTAAATCAATATATCAATTGAATATATTTGATTTATTAATGCATTTATTGTGGTCCTCTTCTGTAGTCCTTTGGTATTATTAGAGCTCTTTTTGCAAGTGAGCCTTGTTTCTGGTTTATTTTATTTTGTTTTATAATATCAGTACATTCTTTCACAAATTGAAGTTTATTATGATGTCTGTTTTTTTTTTTCAAATTATCTCGAATAATTCTGTATGAGAATTGTTAAAAAAGCAATTGAATGAACAGAGGTCAAGAAATATTGTGATTAAATAAGTTCATAATTGACATAAAAAATTTAATATTACATGCAAGTCATTAAACGTTTATAATACAACAAATTGATAACAAAAGTCTTTTTTTTTGTTAAATTTTATTATTGAAAATTTATTCTAAATTTAATAACTTTTCAATCAATCTGAAACTTTAATTATTAAAATATAAGTAAATTATGCAATTTTGATTCAATTAAAGCAATAACAAAAGTTTTCAAGCAATAAGTATATATTTTTACTACATTTTTTTTACTAATATCAACAAAATTGAATTATTCAAAGTGAATATAAAGATTTGTAAAAAATATACATTTTAAATTAAAAATGAAGGAATTTTAAATTTCGAAGTAAATAGTAATAATTGTTTTAGTTAACAAATTTGTACTAATTTTTTTTTATACTCACATTAAAATAGAACTTTATCAAAGAAGATGTTAAAGAAGAAGTTAATAGTAAAATTTTATTCATGTAAAATTATAAATTGAAAAATTATATAATTAATTAATACATTTTACAGTTCTTTTGCATCAGTCAATCTTTTTTGTTTTTTTATTAGTATTTTTGTGTAATTATTATATTATTATATATATTATTATACTAATATTATTTTAAATATGAAAAATCTAAATATTTTTATTATATAAAGGAAACAAAGTATTTACATTAATTATCTTTATTGATTAATCAATAATATCATTGAAATACATTATAAAAAATACGTCAAGAGAGAGAAATAAATAAATAAATAAGTAAAGTCAATTTGTATTTAATCTGTTTTTTTATTATTTTATTTGATCAAACAAATACGCAAAAGTTTGCATATGGTAATTAATAGTAATAAATAAATGGGTAACTGTTTCTACTTTGTTATGAATATAAACTTCCTAGCCGTGCACCGGATAACGGAAAAAACATGCACAGCATATATTAATAAAGGAAAAACGAATATGGGAAAAATCCTACTGACTATAACGAATACCGCTTCATACTCTTATGCAACAAAGGCCTATAAATACGAAAAAAAATCCATAACGTAATAGTATTAAAGCAGGAAAATCCTCGAACAAACAAAAAATATCTGTATATTAGAGCGAGCGAGCTTTAATTCGATATTGCGACGATGAATTTAAAATCACGCATCGCCGCATTTTTAAACTGAATTTCCATTTCCCTGTAAAATTGAGAATATGGAAAATGCCTTTTACCGTGGCCCCGTCACGTTCCGCAGTTTTAATACTGAGGAAAATTGAGAAGCTTTGTTCCACCCGTATTGTTAGCACGGCACAAAGTGAAATGGTATGTTTCATGAACATACACCAATATTATGCAAACTCTCTCGCTCCGTTCTTTGGAAATGCGCATTTTACCTTTGTTGTTCTTAAAAAAAGGTTTTATATAGAGTGAAGGATGCATTCGAGTGAATTTTTAATGCTGTATTATGATTTTGTTATGAGATTTCAATGGATTTATTAAAAGCATCTCATTTATTATAGATAATTAAAAAAAACGCAATATTTGACTTGTTTTTAGGTTTAAATATTTTAATAATTTAAAATATTATTCAAGAATTAAGCCCTGTATTTTTGCTCAATTAATATTAGAATTTTGGTAGATTTCACTAATCAACAATAGAACATTTATAAAATGAATTAACATTATAACATATAAATTTGTTTCAAATAAAATATGCAAACTCTTTCCCTCTGTTCTTTGGAAATGCGCATTATAATGCATTAGAGTACATTTTTAATGCTGTAATATGATTTTGTTATGAGATTTCAATGTATTTATTAAAAACTTCTAGTTTATTAAAGGTAATTAAAAAAAAAACATTATTTTTCGAGTTTTTTTTTTAAGTTTGACTAATTGAATGTTTTACTATACTATTGGGTAAATTTCATTAATTAACAATAAAAAATTTAAAGTTTCATTATGAAATTAAATACGATTTATTAATTCTATTAACATAATAACATATAAATTTGTTTCACATAAAAATATTTGTATTGAAAAGTCATTATTAAGAAATATTTTATAAAATAAATTGAATTTTGACCAAATTTCAAAGTTCGATTCACACACGAATGTTAAAAAAAATGTTCAAAACAAAAAAAATGTTATTTAATCATAGTTTTAACTGCATATTGATCCAATTTTTAAAGTAAAAATCTTTAATTATACGTTATTATATGTTATTGTATGAAATGTTACAAAATTTGTCAGTATTTTGAATAGTTTTCTGAACCAATAATCGATATTATTCAGACTTCTTTGAAGTATATGTGAGGCCGTAGTTCGGTTTTGGTGGGATGTTAGAACAACGGTGTCATCAGCAAATGTAGCTGTAGTGGCGTGCTGAAGAGTTGGTAGAACAGCCGTGAAGATCAAATAGAGTAAGGGTCAGGAACACTTCCCTGTGGAACACCAGAGAGGATAGGGCGTAGCGAGGTCACTTCGTCCTTGTGCTTGACCTGGAAGTGCCTCCCAGTCAAGTACGATTTGAATATGACGTAATTTTCATATGGGAGACACTTTTTAATTTTATATAGCAATCCTCCATGCCATACTCGATCGAACACCTGTGAGATGTCGAGGAAAGCAGCAGAACATTACATCTTCTCCTCAAGACTTTTGCCAATCACATCCACCACACGATGCACCTGTTCCACAGAGCCATGTCGCTCACGAAAATATAAATGAGTAGAAAAAATATATTAATTACATAATATTC